AAAATCTCAAATATCGCAAAAAAGCCATTTTTGCCTTTTTAAACCTGACGTGAAAATTAGTTTGCGCATCCAAATTCTACGAGAAGTATCTTGTTTGGTAAAATAATTTTAAAAAATTTATAATCTAATATATTACACAATGATAAATTATTAAATATTATTGGCCCTGTGTAACGAGCACAAAAAATTTTATTAATTCTTAGAAAAAATTTTTTTTAATTTGACAAAACCAAACGTTTCGACCTGTACTAGGTCTTCTTCAGTGCGCAGTTAATCGTTATGATAATTAAATAAATATAAAATAAAATAAATAATAATCCTTAAGGTTGCCAGTAATAATTAATAAAAAACCACTCCTCAATGTTTAAAGTCGACCAGACTGGCAATAATTTATTATAAATAATTATTTGAAATACAACAACAACGTTTCGGCTGTCATTGCAGCCCTTTTCAAGTACATCTATAAAAAGTTCAATCAAAATAATTATAATTTAATACACTTATTCGCAACAATTAATTATACATTTAAATACAAAAATGTGTTACATACCAAATTTAAAACAGTAAATCAACTTCTATGCAAACTACCGACAATGTTAACGCTTGTTTTGATGAACAATGTAAGACTGACAGAAGTAAGCACATATTAAATAGATGTTAACTGTTCACAAGAATCTTAGTCACTAAGCGTTAAGAAGATAGAGACGAAACTAAATGTGTCTTTCGTAATTTAAATCGTCATAATAAAGTCAAATAAATAAAAATAAATAAATAGGTGGATATAAAAAAAAAAATAAAATTAAAAGTAAAAATAAATATAAAACGACTTAAATAACGTCAAGAACACGATCATAAATCCCACTGAAATTCTCCGTATCTTTCTGTAAATTAATACTTTTTCCTTGTTTTTTTATGTAAAACATTTCTGCAATTTCTCTTTTTCTTGTCTGTTTTTCCTCATGCAGAATCACCGGAGAATCCCAACGGAACTCATGATCGTTGCAAGTCCGATGTAAACTACATGACAGAATGCAATGTCTTGTCTTTTTTTATGTTATTTCTATGTTCTTTAATGCGCGTTTCTAAATGTCTCTTTGTCTGTCCTATATAAGCCGAATCGCAATTCGCACAATCAATTTTATAAACAACATCAGTTCTTTTTAAGTTTTCGATCCCATCTTTACCTCTTTTTATCAACGTGTCCAATTTTTTTGGGACAGTATACAAAGCATCAATTCCACTTTTATTGATGCAACGCGTAATATTCTCGCTAAGATCTTTAATGTAAGGTAACACAATGCAATTTCGCGTATCAAATTTATTTCGATTGGGCGAGTTAAGATTACTGCCAAATTTAATCGCTCGAAGTCTTTTATTGATGTTTTTGTTAATAATTGTTAACGGGTAACAATTATTAATAAGGATTCTTTTGATTAAATTAATATTTTCTTCATGAAAAATAGGGTCAGCGAGTAAAATAGCCCTATCAACTAGGCTTGTAATCACGCTAATTTTATATCTCATAGGATGATTTGACAGAAAATTAATATAGCGGCCTGAAAACGTAGGCTTTCGGTACCAATTAGTCGTCAATCTACCACCGATACGTATAACGTTCGTATCCAAAAAACTCAGAGAACAATTTTTCTCTAGTTCGAACGTAAACTTAAGTCGAGTGTGGAAACCATTGAACACACGAAGCATATCCTCAATTTTTCCTTTCGGAATAATTGAAAAAATATCATCGACGTACCTAAAATAACAATAGGGTTCGAAATCCAATTGACGCAAACAGTATGATTCCAAATCGTCCATAACAATGTCAGAAAGAATCGGAGACAATGGAGACCCCATCGGAGAACCGAAAACCTGTTCGTAAAATTTTCCGTCAAAAACGAAGCTCGTTGAGCGCATAACCGTGTCAATGGCGTGTAAAAACTGCGCAAGGCTAAACGAAGTAAATTGTGAGATGTCATCCCATCGGTTTTCTATTGCTATTTTAATTAATTCCCAAGGGGTGTTAGTAAAAAGTGAAGTCACGTCCAACGAAATCATAACATGGCTGTCGTCGATGTTTCTGTCTTTAATAATCTCCACAAAGGACCAACTATCCTTGACATGAGATCGAGGTTTATTGACTGCATTTTGTAGTATCTCACTCAAAAAGGATGCTATGTTGTAAATAGGACTTCCTACAGTTGAAATTATGACGCGGAGAGGGTAACCTACCTTATGAATCTTTGGTAAACCATACGCACGAGGCAAATTACCATTCGTACACCTCAATTGTCTGTATGTGTTATCGTCTATTAATTTATTATCTAACCAAGATTTTAATAAATTAGCAACCCTCGTGCTCAGTGACTTCAGCGGAGTCCTATTAAGTGATCTATACGTAGAATCGTCTTTCAATAAAAAATTCATTTTCTCAACGTAGTCTGTCCGGTCCATCAGTACAGTAACCTGACCTTTATCAGCTTTAGTTGCAAAAATATTTTTGTTAGATTTCAAAAATTTTGAGCAGTCGGAGTATCTATTACAAATGTAATTATCGATGTAACATACATGTTTTTGTTTACTCAAAAACTTGTGTACCGAACTCGCTATCGAAAATCTCAAATTATCCAGGTTGTCACTGGGAAACTTTCTATGATTAACTTCAATATTCTTTATGTTTTCTAATGCAGAAATTTTCCTATCATCTTTATTACTTCTACAAATGGGTACGCCAAACTTATCACCCAAACTGAGAAACCTCATCACCGAATCCGGAACGCGACGATTGCTGATATTTACAATCCATTTGCGGTAATCTATTTTTATCAATGGATTCCGAACCCCATAATACTTGCGACAAATGTGTTCAAATTTGCTTCTTAGACGCCGCTTCTCACTATTATTATATTTATGAATGATATGCCCATTGTGATCAAAAAAGCCAACGACAAACTCAAAAGGTAAATTATCAAATAATCGCTTTTCGATATGATTCAAATTGACACGTAACGCACGTAATTTACAATTAATATCTTTAATCTCTAAGTTTAATAACGCAATTTTGCTACGATGCTGGAGATGTAGCCATTTAAGTGTAACATTTCTGCTGTGAAAAATAGTTGATTTACTTGCTGTATTGTTGTTGTTAATATGCGGAGGTAGAATATCCATCCGTCTGCACCGGAGTAAAAATATAAGTTGTTGATAAGATTTACATATGTTCTTCTTCGTCTTGATCCAAGATTTTAGCATCAAAGACATTTGCATACTAAATTTCTCCGTCACGTAATTAAAATATCCTCTTTGTAAAACCACCATAGTAAGGTCACGGTGTGATAAAATAAATAATAATCCTTAAGGTTGCCAGTAATAATTAATAAAAAACCACTCCTCAATGTTTAAAGTCGACCAGACTGGCAATAATTTATTATAAATAATTATTTGAAATACAACAACAACGTTTCGGCTGTCATTGCAGCCCTTTTCAAGTACATCTATAAAAAGTTCAATCAAAATAATTATAATTTAATACACTTATTCGCAACAATTAATTATACATTTAAATACAAAAATGTGTTACATACCAAATTTAAAACAGTAAATCAACTTCTATGCAAACTACCGACAATGTTAACGCTTGTTTTGATGAACAATGTAAGACTGACAGAAGTAAGCACATATTAAATAGATGTTAACTGTTCACAAGAATCTTAGTCACTAAGCGTTAAGAAGATAGAGACGAAACTAAATGTGTCTTTCGTAATTTAAATCGTCATAATAAAGTCAAATAAATAAAAATAAATAAATAGGTGGATATAAAAATAAAAATAAAATTAAAAGTAAAAATAAATATAAAACGACTTAAATAACGTCAAGAACACGATCATAAATCCCACTGAAATTCTCCGTATCTTTCTGTAAATTAATACTTTTTCCTTGTTTTTTTATGTAAAACATTTCTGCAATTTCTCTTTTTCTTGTCTGTTTTTCCTCGGACTTGCAACGATCATGAGTTCCGTTGGGATTCTCCGGTGATTCTGCATGAGGAAAAACAGACAAGAAAAAGAGAAATTGCAGAAATGTTTTACATAAAAAAACAAGGAAAAAGTATTAATTTACAGAAAGATACGGAGAATTTCAGTGGGATTTATGATCGTGTTCTTGACGTTATTTAAGTCGTTTTATATTTATTTTTACTTTTAATTTTATTTTTATTTTTATATCCACCTATTTATTTATTTTTATTTATTTGACTTTATTATGACGATTTAAATTACGAAAGACACATTTAGTTTCGTCTCTATCTTCTTAACGCTTAGTGACTAAGATTCTTGTGAACAGTTAACATCTATTTAATATGTGCTTACTTCTGTCAGTCTTACATTGTTCATCAAAACAAGCGTTAACATTGTCGGTAGTTTGCATAGAAGTTGATTTACTGTTTTAAATTTGGTATGTAACACATTTTTGTATTTAAATGTATAATTAATTGTTGCGAATAAGTGTATTAAATTATAATTATTTTGATTGAACTTTTTATAGATGTACTTGAAAAGGGCTGCAATGACAGCCGAAACGTTGTTGTTGTATTTCAAATAATTATTTATAATAAATTATTGCCAGTCTGGTCGACTTTAAACATTGAGGAGTGGTTTTTTATAAAAATAAAAATTCTAATACTAAGTCGCTATATAATGTCAAGTAAATTAAAAACTGATGTCAAGATTAAAAGGCGAAATACATTGACATTAAATTTAAATCATCAAGCATAGCTCGACACGAACAGTCCACACTGAGTGCACAATCATATAACTAATCCGGTTAATCTATATTATTTTAAAATTATATCTAATATATTAATTTTAACTTCCTACCATATTTGCTCGTTTATAAGCCTTTGTATTTTGAATTAATTCATTTGATACGAGCTTGATTATTACATACTTTTAATTTTAAAAAAAATTTGTAAGCCAATTATTATGTTATCTTCTTGCTTTACTCACTTTTAACAAACTCTCCAGCAAAAAGTGTTGCACATTGAAGGACGGACTGAAAGGTCCAAGCGGATGTTGTCGCGCTTCACGTGTCAGACGTAATACATTGCTGGTTATCTCTCCTGAAAACAAATAATAAATAAATAAATCACAAATATCAATTATGCAAGCTAATTTTTAATCAAAGCTAATCGAGATTATTAGAGTGTTCTTGGATCTACAAATTTATCCACAAACTCCGAATGAAACGCAAAGTCGATTTTACAAAGTTTTCTCTTTTAAATATGAGTATTTAAAAATAATGCGATAAATATTCATGTTATAAAAGACAATCACACATATAATTATATGTATAAACAATTTACAATTCTGTCAGATTATTTCATAAAATACATTTATAAATAAAATATATGTACATGTCAATATATAAAAAACGATCAGTTATTATTATTATTATTAAAATATATATGTATATCTATAATTTGTATATGCCTATCAATATTTATGCATTGATTAACAGTTTATATGCATATATGTATTATCTATAAATAGTTAATATTTATATACGATAATATTTATATATTATATTTATATACGTATATATATATTTATTTTTAAATATTTCTTTTATATTAAAATATAAATTAAATATTTAAATAATTACCCGCATATTTTTAATTTGATAATCAAAATATGCTAGTAATTTTTAAGAAATTGATAAGATATTTTTATAAGCTATAAGATAATATATATATACACACACGCGCGCGCACACACACACACACATATATGTATACATATTTGTATAAGATAGTATATCAATGTTCATCAATCAAGTCAAATAAATAGAATTATGAAATAAATATTCAAAATTTAAAATATATATATATTAAAATATATTCCCAATTTTAGAAATTGTGACAATTATATCTTCTTATATTTTTATGGTGAATATTTATGAACAATCATATTTCCTTAATTATCATATTTTTTAATTATCATATATGAATAATTATAAATCTTTATTTTATGCATAATCTTCAGAATCGATCAACAATATTTGTTATCTACTCCGGTTTTACTGGTTAACCTTTCCAAATAATTTTGTAATAGAATGTATTATTGTTAGTAAATATGTGTATATAATAAAAAAACAAAAAAAATATATTTAATATAATACAATAATTATTATATTCAATATAATATAATAATAAAAAATTAAATAATTAAAAATTCGATTTTCTCGAATAAACAAAAGAAAATAATGCTGCGAAATAGAAATGATGTGAAATAGCCAAAAGTATGCAAAAAATTACAAAAAGAATCGATGTATTTCGATTTCGGAGGAAAGGCAATATTACGAAATATTCGGAAATTACTCATTATATGCAAGTACATTTTTTTTAGAGAGAAGCGCGTGTAAAAGGCTAATGATGATGATGATAAATCGATAAACAAAGACAGATGCGTGTGCGTCTATTAAATTTATGCAACATACATACATACATACATACATATACATATACTTGTATTACGATAACGCGTTATCCTCTTTTCTATCTCTTTTGACATTTGCTCCGAATAAACTTAAATTACGTCACGAAAGAAAAAGAGATAGGAAGAAGGATGAAAAAAATATATCGTTGTTGCTGTCTTCCGATCGACCACGCGACAATTTTTCTTTCAAATAACGCTTCGTAATCTCTCTTTCTCACACGCGATTCTCTCAATGAAACTTTTGCAATAATTTTTTCAGAAGATCAATTAATCTCGCGAACTGAAAATTGTGATTTTGATGAAATTTTACACACCTAACATAAATAAATAGATGAATTTAGAAATTTTTATTATGTAGAAATTTAGAAATTTTTGTATTTTTAATTAATTGCTACACCTCTCATATGTGTGTGTAGCGCAATTATATCTTGAAAAATATTCCAGATATCAAAAATGTTTTAAAGTTTCATGGTAAGAACATCTCTATTTAACTACATTAATAAAATTTTGAAGAAAATTTTTGTTCTAAAATTTAAAAAATGTTCAAAATTATTGTTTGTATAAAATAATTTATTAATAAATTATTTTATGTATATTATTATACAATATTATATATATTATATTACATTATATATTTTTATATACATATGTTATATATGTATATACGATATATATATATATATATATATATATATATATATATATATATATTACATTTTAAAATATATTTATATAATAAATATTATTAATATGTGATTAGATAAATATAAATAGTTTCGCTATGAAACTTTTGTATACAATAATTTTCGATATCTCGAAAGCTTTTCCAGTAAGAGATTATAAGTAATTGAAAAACAGATTTCCTTCGTTGCGCAGAAAAGGAAAATAGTAACAATAACAATTGTTTCAAAAGTTTCAAGAATAAAATGTGCGATTAAATATACGATCATTCCTTTTCAAGCTCAATTTTTATTATTTTGTTTTCCCATTATGCTCGCGCACAATGAAGAGCGTTCAAGATGAGCGTATTTTGTTTTCAAAACGCAAATGCTTGGTATATTCGAGTGTTTTTCCCGATAAACTTGTGCATGAATTTCAGATTTCGTTCGCTTTTATGCGTCCAACGTGACACGAATATATTGGTCGATAAATATTGTAATAATGTTGAAAAAAAAGCTTGAGCCCAAAAAGAAGACTCGAGCAACCTCGCTCCTCTGGTTAAAGTGAGATATACAGGGTGAATGAATTCATCAAGTCAAAATAAGTCGAAAATAAAGAATGACAGAATTACGTTTGAGCCTTCTTTAAAGAGTTACAATCGAATAATCGAAAACTTTTAATTGGAGCAAAATTTATTTTTATTTAAGTTGAAAACCATAACATGAATTATTGTTATTATTATTATTTTATTATTATTATTATTATTATTATTTTATTATTATTATTATTATTATTATTATTATTATTATTATTATTTTATATATTATTAACACATTATTTTGATTGATGCGATTTATGATACACCCTGTATATAAATCTGTGGCGGATTTTTTTTCAGATTTCTCAATAATCCCGAGCGCAAACGTCATGAAACTCTTTGAAGGAGCTGATTACGAACGAGGGAACAAATAATATTTCGCTCGAGGAGGTTATCAGATGATGATGGTCGCTGGGAGACGTCAGCATATCGCCAGAGCTTACTTAGAGAGTGAGGACCGATAGAAACAGCATCGCTTTGTTCGCCATATCTCTCTGAGTGTCCGAGTTGTAGATATAACACGAATGTGGAGCTGACATCATACAAAGATGACAGCCGGAATAAGATTTCAGTTGGCGTTTCTACGCCGCGGGTAATTAATTATATTATGTAGCTTGATATAGGCGCATAGAAAAGCCATCGTAGATAATTAAATGTCCTTTCAAGATCAAGACGGAAGTCTTTGGTAAATGAAGATATATACCCGAATAGAGAGAATACAGTGGTAATTCGATAATACTGATCAGTGACTGTCTATTATGAAAGAGATCCCAATAAGAGAATATGCTTTTTTATTCTTTGTTTTTCTTCTGTTATTTCATTATGACGTAATGTCGAATCGAATAAAAAATAAACATAAAAATATTTCTGATGAAAGATAACACTGGTCAACGAAAGAAAAGAACTTTTAGTTGCCAAGGATGTTTGAATTAAAGGTTTAGGATTCTTTTGGGATGCTAAATCCAAAAACGACAATAGTTTTGCTAAATTAGCTCTAGTTTTTGAGAAAATAGATGCTCAAATTAGAATTTTATCCCGATTAATACGATCTGTAGCTATATACAATATATATATATATATATATATATATATATATATATACCATATATATTATATACATTAGTTACCACATATCGGGCCAAGCATTGGCGCTATTGCAAAGACTGGCAATCCTATATGGGATGTAGCAAAATTCGATCTGTCCTTTTATTCTTTAATATTGTTTTTATCTCCAATGTGATCTTAATGGCATATGTAAGAGAAAATCGTACAAACAGCATTAATTGTGATTGTCTGAATCAGCTTTCTTTGTTTTTATGTTATTTGACTAAATGCAACGCATTAGGTATTTCATATACATACTTTTGGTTGTAAGATAATTTGAGACAGTTTGATAGATGATGGATTTGGCGATTTAAGACAGTTTAGTGGATGATGGATTTGATGGATGAGTTAGGGATCCAAGATATATTTTTGCATTTTTATGTTTTTCATAGAGCACTCACATTATCTAAATAATTAGAGCCAATTTAGGAAAAATCAATGTCATATTCGGAATCAATGACTGGTGACACAAAGTTACCCTAAAATTGATCTAATATAATTGGCAATAAAATCAGTATTGTACAGTGTAATGTGACATTTCATTTTTAATGCTAGCTGATTGGGTTCCGTAAATATGGTTTATTAGCAAATATATATTAAAAAATAAATAACAGGCACTTAAACGGTGTAATTATGCATTAAGCAGTACGCGAAGCATACAACAAATACCGTAAGTTTTCATAAACGCTACGCTTGATGTAAGAATAAATAAATACAATTGAATAGTAAATGCAAGATGGGTGAGAAAAGATTAAATCGCATATGCATGAATGCACTCAACCTATGAACATATTCACCGTTAAAAGAAAGACCGTTAGTTCATATCGGTAAACGATATCTCTTTCTAGTCTTATTATGCAGCTTTTAACTCTGTCATATTGATGCAACTACCTGGCACTTCTGCAATTTTCCACATAATCTAACCTTACTTAAATCTCATCATCAAAAAATAAATTTTGAAAAATTAAGTAATGAAATAATGTTTTTTCTTTTACACAGACAACTCATGATATACAGGGTGTCCCAAACTTACTGTAAAACCTGTTAATGACATTTCTGGGATCATTTGGACCATCAAGAATAAGGTCATCATTTTTTTACATGTGCCCAATTTTTGCTAATATCTATCTTTTGTAAGCCTTAAATTAAAATTTTATTTAAAGTAAACTCTACCTGAATTAACTAAAGAATGTAGTTTATTTTATTTCTACAAAAGGCTTAGTTTGCAAAAATCCTTTATTTTCAATAACTTATAACTCGAAA